CTTCAGCAACAGACTATGCACGCCGAATAACACCCTCGAAACAATATCATCAGCGCAAAAATAAAGTGGGTCTGTTACTATGGGAAATCTAGTAATCCATTATTCCATCTGTGGCTTCAAGGTAAAATTGCTTCAACATTTAATGTTTCTATACTGACTCGTTGGCACACCTGCTCCGAAATTATCTCTTCCCAGGGAAGGATTGTATCCTGCATAAATATATGCAGACACATTGAATGTATACAATATAGTTGCTGTGCCACTAGGCACAAATATAGGTCATGTAACTATATGTCAGAAAATGCAACAATATTCATCTCTCAAAACACTAACATTCTGCCAATTTACCTTGTGAACAGCATTCAATTATAAAACCCACCACTTGTTTTCAATATTTATATGGTCACATGCATCACATAATAATAGCAGTAAGAATAAAATTTTTTGTGACTACAGCTTTCATAACCACAAGTTCCAGCCTCTCCCTCTCACGTTTGAATTTTTGCAAATGAGGCTTGTTTTATAGGATATATCAGTGAAGCGTGCTCTATGACCCACTCATTTTATATATGGCACCATATTCTCCATCTTCTTCGTTATCACTCTGAGGTGATTCTTTTTGGTTAATCCCGGAGCTCTGTTGGAAGTCTAATTGTTCTTTTTACTCACTATAAGCTGTTGATTTAGTGTTTTATGTAATCTTCTGAGCAACGGTATCGGCCTCGTAGTCTATAAGTAAATAAATAAATTTTCCAATCTTTTACCTGAAGAGCAAGTGGGAAAGAAATATGGTTCTACTTATACTCAGAATCACGTGGTTATGCTACAAAAATTGTAGTCATAATAGAGATTCACTTTTATTTGGATAGCAAATTAGGCAAACAGCAAGAAAACGCAACCGGACTTCTGCAACGCGCCGTTCATTCCGTTAATTAAAACTGGCCAACGTCGCCCACGCACTCGCAAAATGCACCGCGGACGACACAGAGCTCTCACGGAAACGCACAACTACAGGGGCAAACTTTTCTGCCAAATCCGGCGGCAGTATGGCAACATTGGCCCCAAAATCTGGCAACTGATTTATATGATTACTTTCCGTACCCGGTGATTTTCATAGCAACGCGCTCACACGGGCTGCATTGACCTCTTCTTCCGCGGACAACAATATGCGGAAGAGATGTGATGTTGTGAATTGCCCAAATTGGCGTGGTGAAGCTGGCGAAACTGGGAGTGAACGTGGAGCCTCTTGGCCTTCCTACCATCTCCTACCGCGCTTGGAGCCACGGCGATCGCTGTGGCTGGACGCAGTAAGATTTCGGAGCGGGCGATTAAAAGCACGGAGAGTGTGTTCGCTGCATTTTCGACCTGAGGACTACACATTTGACCCTGTCCTGTCCCGGTCGCTCGGAGTCGACGCAAGAGCTGCGCTTAACCCGGATGCTGTCCCGTCGTTGCTGCTGGGACATGAGCAGCAAATTGCGGTTTGTGGAGCGAGTAGGCGAATGGTTTCGTGCCGAGTGCTCGATGCGCTGCGCAGTTACCCGCGGGAAAACGGGTCGTTTTGAGAACCTTCGCTCTCCATGGCGGCCGCTGCAGGACCCACCTCTATCGAATGTTTCTTTTGCATTTGTCTCAGTGCGCATGAGCACCCCTCTCCCGGGAATCACGTAATCGAAAGGGGTGGGGGAGGAGGCAGTGCCTGCATGCCCAATGAGTGAGAGCCGTGGCGTCATTGTAGCGGGATTATGGCCGCGCAGGTTTCAGAACATTTAGTATATTTCCCATCCTTATATATTCACGGAAAAGGTACGAACCAAAGGCAGTGCGTTTGCGAGAAACAAGTCAATGCTTCGTGATTTTTTTTTTTTTGTCTATTGTGAAGCACGTTCTTTGGACTCTACCAAAAGGAGGGAGGTGGTCACTGCAACGAAACTTTTCCATCTCTGATGGGAAAACTCTGCGCACTCCTATGTTTGTCTCAATGCATCTCATCGCTTCCTTTTTGGAACGTCATTGACAAAATTTATGTTTTGTGACATGTAGCAAGGTATCCAGTATTATGCAGTTCGATAACTCTTATTCATCAATATTATGGAGTCGGTTGTGCCTGCCTCCAAATGCCCAATTTATGCACAGTGAAACATTTCCAGGTTCCCAGTGCAGACAACTGGCACAAACTGAGATGTACCGAGCGGCCGACGAGGCCGCCTGATAAGTCGTTCGACCCTCACAATAAGACGACTCAAGCTAATGTGTTCACAAGAACTGTAAATGAGTGCGTACCTGGCATCAGCGGCGTGGTGTTTAGGAAACGCAAAAGGGCACTCCTGTCTTTAGTTACCATGATAAGTCGGTAAACTCACTCATATGAGTTGACTCGCTTAGACCGGAAGCGGGCTGTGAGTCAAGTCCGAGTGAGTCCGGACGCAAAATATATTTTGTGAGTGAGTCCTATGGCCCTGTCTACTCATGTTCAGTATTACTGTCAGTGTTACATTGGCTTAAATTCGAACTCCAGTTTCCCCTCAAATATGTCTACAATCCGCTACCTCATATTTGTTATTCTGAGCAAGTGTAAAGAGGGGGGAGGGTGCCATCACCTTCCCCACAGAAACACTTTCAGGAAAATTTCGTGATAAAGATACCTCGTGCGAGTCGCAAATTTAATAAAACTGACCATACCGAATTTAAACCACCTATAACTCGTACTTGCAGGTACAAAATATAAAGGCATGTCATAGCACACCGATTACATGACATTGCTTAAAAGAGCACTGACACTAATATTTTAAGAAAGCAAATTTTGCGATAACGTACTCATGAGTTGACTCACTCATGCTCATTCAGACCCAGGTGAAGCCTTGAGTCCGAGCGAGTCCAGCTGAGTAATATGTTGGCGAGTTTCACTCTGAGTGAGTTCGGTGGATAAAATGTACAGCGAGTCTGTGTCAGAGTGAGTCCAGATGAGAAAAATTTTGGTGAGTCTCAGACCAAGCGAGCCTTCGGAGCAAAACATATTTCTTGAGCATGAGTGAGCTCCTCATTCAGGGTTGAAAAAGTTAGTGGCCCTTGATTGATTGATTGATTGATATGTGGGGTTTAACGTCCCAAAACCACTATATGATTATGAGAGACGCCGTAGTGGAGGGCTCCGGAAATTTAGACCACCTGGGGTTCTTTAACGTGCACCCAAATCTGAGCACACGAAAAAAAAGTTAGTGGCCCTTGTACACAAATGCAGAGCCCCATTTGTGTGATGACACAGGCACCAGTGTTTGTGTTGTCCTGACTTCTCTCTTGTGTTTGTGCTTGCATGCCCAGTCTTTAACATCACAGTCTTTAACGTCCTCAAACCAGAATAATGTAAGAATTTGCAGATGAACACACTAAGGGAGGAAAACAAGTAAAAAAAAAATGAAACCAAAAACCACCACCTTTCTGCTCACTTGCTTCCATCCTGATAATGCTTGAAATTCTTATCATGCACTTAGCACGGAAACAACTAGCTTAACATTGGGCCTATACCCCACCACGGTGGTCTAGTGGCTAAGGTACTCGGCTGCTGACCCGCAGGTCGTGGGATCGAATCCTGGCTGAGGCAGCTGCATTTCCGATGGAAGCGGAAATGTTGTAGGCCCGTGTGCTCAGATTTGGATGCACGTTAAAGAACGCCAGGTGGTCAAAATTTCCAGAGCCCTCTACTACGGTGTCTCTTATAATCAAATCAACATCGGGCCTAACTAAAAAAGTGATGCTAGTTTAATGTGCAAAGCATATTTAATGTTCAAAGTTTATAATTATTTATTATCATTATGCATAATTACAGACTTTGATCATCATCAAGCATGGTTGGTCACATGAGGCAGTGGTCTGCCTTATTTACATGCATGCTTTCAACTTGCATTGATCTGGCAGTTGTTAATAATAACTGATTGCATTTAATATTTCTAGACCATAATATGATCGTGAGAAATGCCATAGCGGAGCTCTCCGGAAACTTCAGCTACTTGGGCTTCTTTAACGTGCGCCTAAATCTAACTAAGCAGGCCTTAAACCTTTCCATCTCCATAGAAAATGCTGCCGCCGTGGCTGGGATTAGATCTCGCGACTTTTGTGTCAGCAGTCATGCACTATAACCACCAGATCACCGTGGCGGGTCTGATAGCTGTTGATAAATCTTGAACTTCTCATGCTATATCTATATTCTAATGATAAAACAGCTGTCCAGGGCAGAGAATAACTACTCTTGATTGCCATATGAAATAAGTCTCCATTTTGTGCTAGTGGTAACAAAATAACACTGTGAAACACCATATATGGAAGTTTGATGTTGTAGGCCCGTGTACTCAGATTTGGGTGCATGTTAAAGAACCCCAGGTGGTAGAAATTTCCGGAGCCCTCCACTATGGCGTCTCTCATAATCATATGGTGGTTTTGGGACATTAAACCCCGCATATCAATCAACAGAAGTTTGACTGATTCTTGTGTACTCTTAATTGTTAAGGACAGAAAGTTGGGCTAGCTGGTATCAAGAATGATATGACAGGCTTACTAGCATAAAAAAAAGAGATACGAACAAGAAGTAACATGGAAACCCGCTACACTTAAACTGAACTTTATTATATCCAGTATGCAGGTATATAGACAATTGTACACACCTGTGCACAAGAGTCCTGCTAAACTTTCGTTTTACACTAGTAATCATGTCAAATTATCCACTTTATCACTACTGTATTTGGTCTGCTAACCAAACCGTTAATACCAACAGATGTTTAGGGCATGTTGCTCAAGATTGTGGCACACCAGGAATGGACTACTTTCCCAGTGAAGAATCTCACAAGCTCTGATTAGTCAGTGTGCCAACTGGCCCGATACAATTGTTTATTTAGTCAGTGTGATCGCATTATGTGCGCTTTGTTTGCTGTCACATCTTTCTTGCTTTAAAGTGTATGTATGTCTTGTTATCTTTTTCTTCTCTTGCTGTCTTTTTGTTCTAGGCGTCCAAGGACCAATCACAATAAAGAAATTCAGCACCAAGGCAGTTCAGACCAGTGCACCAGTCTTTACAACGTTCGTCTGTCACTGCAAAAGGAGTGGCAGAGGAGCGTGGTGTGGTAGCGTCAAGTGGTGACACATCACCAGAGCCGCAACAGAAATTGCAGCCATTGCTTCACGTTTTGCATCAGGTTAGTAATGGAGTTAATGAGAGCTTTTGGATGGTTGATGGGCTTACCAGCAAGTGCCATATGCAGGACTTCCGTAAAAAAAAAAGGACGGGGAAGTTTCACAAAAATATGCATGCGATAGTGCTACAATGCCTCAAAAGCTTTTAAACTAGATCCCTTGAGCATCAACACACATGTGTTTATAGCTTTTTTGCAACTCAGTAGTTACCGATTCGATGGATTCTGGTAGGTCCTCAAGGGCTCGTGTACAAGCTTCTTTACCAGCACGTAGCATCTCATGGTGGTGTCTTTTTAAGGAAGGATTTCACTTTTGGGGATAGGAAAATAACCTGCTGGTGCATAGTTGAGGGCTGAAAAGGTGCTAGGGAATCGTCACAATGTTGTCTTTCGTTGGGTATTGTCAAGCCGACACAAAGTGACGTCGTACCTGCCGCGCAGTCATCAGCTGCATTTTGCACTAGCACCGAGTCACTCGACAAGGTTCCGCTAAAAACACCACGTATCCTGAACGAAAGCTCACAGTTGTGTGGCACTTGGCACGTCTGAGGTCACATATCTCACCGCAACACATTCGTTTTGCAAGCATGCACTGTGGTGTACATTCACGCTGGCACGTACAGTAATGTGATGGAAAAGCCCAATGCTTTTTGTACACAATCACTACTTGTCTGTTCAAAATATGGAAGCAAACTTCTGAGGGAGGAGCTGCCCGATTCACTGCCCCAGTGTGTGCACATGAGCAAATTTTCATGTACTGCATACTTCTGCGCGTCACTGCAAGATAAGATCTCCCATCAACAGGCTATTTCTATCTATAGCCTGCGTAAGGCAGAATTCAGGTCACTCATTGCACAATTGATGCCACCAAACCACGATGTGACACCCGCTGAAAGAAATAATAAAATATTGCTGCATAGTTTGTTGTGAGCTTTGCACAAGTGCGTGAGTAAAGCTGTTCTAAAAGAATAACAATTGCTCCAGTGGTATAGGATTATGGCAAATATCATGGCCATAGTCAGAAAAAAGAATCATACCACAAGTTTAAGTCCCATCTAAAAAATGTAGCTCATCAAAATCGTGGAGAAAAGGTGATTGATTGATCGATATGTGGGGTTAAACATCCCAAAACCATCATATGATTACTAGAGACGCCGTAGTGGAGGGTTCCGAATATTTCGACCACCTGGGGTTCTTTAACGTGCACCCAAATATGAGCACATGGGCCTACAGTGTTTTCGCCTCTATAGAAAATGCAGCTGCCGCTAGCTGAGATTCGATCCCGCGGCCTGCCAGTCAGCAGCCGAGAGTACCTTAGCCACTGGATCATCGCGGCAGGGCTAGAACGTTTATGGAATACGAAGGTATATGACTGGTGCAAACGTGGTGATCATGAGATGCGTTTCCTGTAAGAACATGACTACATACCATGCTCATGATGCACTCGCGGCTGTTTCGCTAGCTTTATACAATATATAATCAGGATGCGTCAGTCATTCGGTCATTCTTGGCATACAACCTTGATTGCATTTCATTCAAGTGGGATAGCCAAGTCATTTCAGTCCTCTATTGTGAAACAATTCAATAAATGAAAAAATAAAAAACTGCGTCTTGCGTATGGCATTACATTTCATTCCTGTTTACCAAGTCGAGCCGAGCGTGAACAAATAAGTTTTTTTAGAAGCATACATTCTTTGTTGGTATTTGGAATGAACCTTATTTCGCTACTATAGTCTATTTTAGACTGTATCAATTAATTATTCCTTTCCCTTCCGAGTTCTTTGGCCAGAAAAGACAGAGAAATGCCGAATTTTTTCTGCCTATTTGTTTCTACATCTCTCGAAATAAATTAAAGAACGAGTTAAGGGTGTTTTATTCGCGAAATACAAGCAAAATATTTTCTTTAATATGCAGAGGATTGACTTCACTGCACTGCAGCATGCAAAAAGTCCTAGTCTCTCATTTCCATGGCACTAAAAATGCCTCTGAATTTAGAAATAGCATGGAGGGACAAGGGAGCCCCGTGAAAAAAAGCTTTGGACATGTCACTGGGAGTTTTTTTTTTTTTCTTTTTTTTTTACGACCTCATCTCATGATTCAAAAAAATATCTGCTCCGTGTAGTCCCTGCCACACTGGTAGGGTAGCTGATATTGTTCATTCCACAAGACCTCTGCAAACAGGCGTTTTTTTTTTCAATTTTCTAAAAAGAGCTGCTGCCGGCATGTGCGCGCCCAGAGTAGGCCATCATTTTCTCATTCTCGTTACCAGATTCTCGTCTTTTCGTGACCAAAATGCATATTTCTAGCGCATTTTTACATTTTTACTGCACCACCCATTCATGCCATAGAGAATGCAGCAAAGTAAATCGGGATAGTTTAATTGGGGTATCCTCAGATGCTACTTTCAATGTGTACGAGCCCAACTTGCTTTTGGTAGGAGCAGTACAAACTGTGTAAATGAGTCCAGCTTGGCTAGCTAAGGAAAGGGTTGACAAAGCATCAGTGAAAAGGGCTGCTGATCTATATATATTGTCTGCCTTATGGAACATGGTTTCGACCTCATGAATTCAGATAGGACACAGAAGAAGACATAGAGAACAAGTGTCAATCTCGTTTGTCTCCCGCATCTCCTCTTAATGTGCATTGGCAAAGCCTTCTTCCTTAAGGCCAGTAACTGGCTGACCCAATGTAGTGTCTTAATCCTGATGTTGATTCTCATAAAACTCGTTCACACTTGGGGAATCCACTCACTACAGCCACAAAATTCCTCTATGTTCACACTGCTTATTGGCCACGCCACCGAAATTCAATACAGCGCTATCTGCCATCCAAAGCACTAACAAAACGCAGACGCCAAATATCCCAGTTGTTCCCATCGCTTGTGGCTTGCGGTGTGTCCAGGTGTCCTGATGGTGAATCACACAAGCAAGAGCAGAGTTGTCATACTGGTAGGCCCACTGGCAAGCCACTCTCTGGCAATGCATGAGAAGCAGTAACATGCATTCGCCGAAGATTGAATTGATACAGGCAGGGCTGGTTCGTTTGTCCTGCTTTGCAAAATTGGAGATGCTCGGTAGCACCGAGCTAATGCTACACATTCTCCATTATCGCGACAAGGTGTTTTGAAAATAGGAGGTCTAGATATATTTGGACTCATTCAACAGTCATTGTGCTTCACCTGGTGCGTGTCATAAAGAACGTGTTGACCACAGAGCAGGACTTCACTGTCGCTGTTGGCTTTTATGATTGTGATATGATAAGAGCGCCACCTTCATATAGATTTTCTTCCTGAGGGCAGATTTTCCTCCTGCGCTTCAGTTGGTTCACCTTGAGAGAATCCAGCTGCCACAAAAATCAGTCCAGTACTGATTGGTACAGGAAGGGCTGTTCCAGATGATCTCGGTACTGCCGGACTGCATTCCGTACTACTCCAGCTGTCGAATGTCTACGTGCTAATGTGCCTTTAGTGTCAGCCATGGGCCAATTGCAGCTAACAGGAATCTGCTTTGCCATTAGGAAACAGCCATTGTGGGGAGGCCCACCAGCGGCTGCAGGTGTCTGTTTGTAAAGAGGTTTGTTTTCATAAAATAAGTAAAACTTTGTTAATTTGAAGTCACTAGGGTTGTTCAACATCTTTCAATTAAACAGATTTTTAAATTAACAAAACACATAAAAAGTGGGATGCAAGAAAGTTTGCATATTTGAGAGTAATCAGAGGTAGTCGTTTGCTGTGGCGGTTTGGACGCAGCTTCAGGGATTATGTTTTCTCCCAATAACTAGGACTAATTTTTGTCGCCGACACGGGTAAACAATAGGCACCATGCTGCCAGCTGAGGAAGAAAAAAACGTCGCAAGAGCGACTGCAACACATTGGTAATGCGTGGGCATGTCATCTGCTCCTCGTGTGTCGGCCCGTCATGATGCGACCATTTTCCCATTTTTTCTGGTAAAATAAAGAATTCAACAATGGCCAGTGTGACGAAATTTCCTATGTGTTTTGGCTGGAAAACATGATTATTAAGTTTTCGAATTAGGCGTTGCTAGCAAGAACTTCGCCAGCAGTGCAAGTGCTGGAGCAACCGCCAATCAGAAGTTCGCATACATCGCAAATGGCATCAGATTGACCTTTCATAATTTCTTTATATTACCAGAAAGAATGGGTAAATCGGCTAAATCATGATGCGCTGACGTAGCGAGAAGCATGCAAAGTGCTGCACACGTGTCACAATTGGTGCAGTGAAGCACGTCTTCTTTTGCAGGTGCACGTTTAAGTTGATCAGGAAATCCCTTTCCTTTTTTTTTTTTTTTTGTTGACAGAAGTGTGGCTGGAGTGCTTCATCTGTCACTCATTATTATCGCTGCACCGCAATGCCTTGTGGCTCTTAAATGCCGCGATTTCAGCAGATTTGCGGCGAAATTGGGATTCAATCGGGAAACGGCACTGAAACAACAGAGTTTTAATTACAGGTTTTAGGCTACTTTTTTCTCACGAAACTAATGCAAATTCAGTTGACTGCCGGATTTGGGCAGGAATGATATAGTTCCTCACAATCAAACTTAAATATGAGCATAGAACATACGCAGCCAAACTTATCAGAATACATTCTCATGCTCAAAACTATGTAATTTAGAGGTTCTGTTGCATGTGGTGCAGTACTACATGATGTTTTAGTCATCTTCATTTGAACTATGGGCAGGATTGGTATGTACAATTATTTGAAGGTACAAATTGAAACGACAATCATGCATTTGACAAACGGAATGAACTTGTAAGCGTCATCAGATATCTAGCTGAATAAGAGAGATTACCCTTATTTTGCAATGGCTCTTAGTAGGAGTCATTGCTATAGGTTGTGTGATTTCGCCTCTGATTATTTTTTTTTCCCTATTATGTCTGGCTATTTTTGTAATCAATAAACATTTGTGGTACTAACAGGGTGACAAGCAACAAGAAACTGTGAATTCAAAGTCCGTAGCTCTACAGCGCTGACACTGCAGGAGTCATGCCACTTTTCATGGCTGCATTCATCATTGTTATTGTCCCATGGACCATCTGCGATGTGATAAAAAAATTCTTCTGGAATATTACATGACTAGACCACTATTTGATAACAAACCACGCTGCAGTAGAGAACTGTAGTTAAATTTTGACCACCTGGCATTTTTCAACGTGCACTTAAGTCTGATTATATACAGCTGTTCTTGTGTTTCACAACCCCCCTCCCATCAAATTGAAACCGTGGTGACCGGATGTATAGGATGCGGTTCGCTGTGAGCTTAGCAGCACCACACATTAGCTGCTTAACTACCTTAGCAGGTGACACCTCTAAAGTTTCCTAAATGGGCAATCAGTTATTAGGAGGACAGTAAGGGCTACCTGCCTGTGACTTTTTCGTAAAAGCTAGCAGCCATCTGACAAACATGTGAATATTTGTCACAGTGGTCGGGTGCAAAGGTGTTTTCCTTTTGTGTTCTCATTTGCAGGGATGTCCCGAGTGACACATTCCATGTGGGAGGAAGCACCGTAATTGCTTTGCCTACCAGAATCTGTGGGGCATGCCTTTGCACTTAGGATAACTTGAAGCTGTTCTCGGTGTGATTGCGCATTGATCATGCCCTGGGTGTTGCTGGTAAGCGGAGCCACCAGGCTGAGCAAAGCCACCTGAAAAGCAACTTCAATACTGCTAACACCTTACAGTCTTCACGTTCGAGTACGGTGCAGGCAATGAAACACTCTGATACTACTGAACACAGTAAGTGTGGGTTGTGCATTGTTAAGTTTTCTGCATGTTGTGGGATTAATATTTTGGATGCACCTTTGCTCTAGTCATGTCATCTTTTGTTTCATGGAAATGAACACAAAAATTAAATGGTTTGTACAATTTGATACAAAGCTATAACTGCTTTTGTCAATTTAAAGAGAACTTGCAATGGTGTTGCACACATTTTATGCACATTGAGCTGGTGCTTTGGCCTTCAGGACTAAAAAAAAACTGAAAATTCATGGTAATTTTTCATAAAAGATTTAAACCTGTGCATCACTACAGAGTACAGAGTACACACCAAGTTTTTAGTGTCCTTGTGACTTATCTTATTAGCTTCTTCGCAATTGTACCAGAGGAAAAAATTGTGCAGACAGGCTCATTATGACAGCCAGCAGTGCGAAAATCATCCAAACAGAAATTAGAAAACATGGTCTCTACAATATATGTGCGCCAGCAGATGGTCATAAAAGGCAGGGCTTAGCTTCGACCGCGTGATGAAAAATTTGAGAAAAAATAAGCCCTGCTTGAAAGGAGGGCACCCTTCGATCACCTGTAGCTCCATTTTTACAAATACAGCCTTCCATACTCCTGTCCTCAGTAAGAATTTGATTTAGGCGAGTGAGCTTTGTGGGGGTGCTGACACCCCTTGTAAAGTTATTTGCGCTGCAACTACATAGGCACGGAGGCGTCTGCTAGTTTACATCATGGCCGACAGCGCCAGTGCCCAGATGAATTTCACGTGGAAATTAAAGGCAATACGGCAGCCTTTCGTACTCCTGTCCTCGCAAGAATTTGATTTAGGCGAGTGAGCTTTGTGGGGGTGCTGACACCCCCTGTAAAGTTGTCTGCGCTGCGTGGCGCATGTGGCGTTGCAACTACATGGGCACAGAGGCGTCTGCTAGTTTACATCATGGCCGACAGTGCCTGTGCCCAGATGCATTTGACAGGGAGAGTAAAGGCAATACAACAGCCTTTCGTACTCCTGTCCTCGCAAGGATTTGATTTAGGCGAGTGAACTTTGTGGGGGTGCTGACACCTTATGTAAAGTTGTTTGCGCTGCGTGGCGCATGTGTCTCTCCCAAAAGCCGCATTTTGGGTTACAACCACCAGGCCATAGCTGGCGTTGTGTTCGCATTGATCACCGCTAACATCATCATGGTTGGTAGAGTGGTAGTGCCGGCGGTGACACCTGGCGGAAGACAAGCCTTGGTGGCAGGGCGAGAGTTGAGCAAGTCTTTTCTGCGCGTGGCGATTGCCGTGAATGGTTGTCTCTAGCGTGGGTCCTCGGCGCATGGCACCGCGGGCCTGCACGCTGGGGGCCCTCGTGGAAAGTCAAGCGTTAGCGACGACGCCTTGGATGTGTTATTGTGTTTCTCATAGAGTGTATGGTAATACTGTGTACGGATGTCCTAGCGTGTTGATAACGATTGATGTATCGATTTGGTGGACGATATCGTCGTTCTGAATTAGTTAAATAATTGTATGTTGTTGTTTGGTTTGTACCAACCGCGTCTGCTGTGTCCGTTCACTCCAAGATCTTGGCTCTCGCCGTTTCGAGACCCCACAGCTTTGATTTGGGCAAGTGGGCACCAGTTCAGTGCATCGAATTATTTTGTGGCGAACCATACATACTGATGCCTGCTTAAGGCTGATTGGATGGGCAATGTTACTGGTCTCATCACAGCTTTTCACCAGCTGAACCAAATACGAGGAACAGAAGATCTAGAAGCTAGCTTCAAATGTTGCTCATGACTTTGACATGGGGTGAAGAACAGGATTCAAAGATTACTAACGGCAGTGTTTCTTTTTCAATTCTTTTTCAGATTGCTTTCAGACATCTAGAGCAAAGTTGCACGTGACCACTGACGGCCTTCTTGATTTTCATGAAAGAGAAAGGTCGAAAAAATTCCAGCTTTGAAGCGATCCTATGTAAAAATCACAATGCTTCACTTGTATTGCCATGAAATACATCATGAAAGAGCAGTGCTACTGTGCTTTGAAAAATAACTGGCATTATCGCTCTCGAAGTGTGAAAATCTGTGAATTTGTATCTGTATACGTCACCTGTACATTGAACTTTCAGCTTGGAGCATGTTAGTGACTGCCCCTAGCAGGAGTGCGTCATAAATTTGAGTGGCACACTGAACTGTTGCAAAACTCTCTTTAGGGTGCGTTTGATTGTGAGGGTTTGTTGACAGCAGAGGTAGCAGCAGACGAAATATTACAAGCCTGTGGTGCAAATATGCGAGCGTCACTGTAGCAGGGGCTGAATATCATTCCCACAATTAGCATCCACAACCACATTTCTGTCTTGCTTTCCAACGTATGCCGTATGCTTTCTAACGTATGCCACACGCATCATGTCTGTTCGCCACGAGCCCTACACTCTCTTGCTCTTTAGGGAATTTTCAGAAGCACAAATCATTTTGTGCATTGAATACCTGCAGCTTGTCTCATTCGCATACTGCACCTAAAACACTTCAAGCATTTTAGTTTGCATCATAGGCTCTAGTAAGAGCAATTCTTTGTTTTGTAGGCAGACTTTCTTTCTTGCTTGAATAAAGACCCCTCCTCATCCCTTGAAGTTGTACCCCTGTGACACTGGATGTGTTAATGTCATTAGGTTCAACGGTCATTCGAAGCTACGAATGTTATTCAATCTGTGGTGGTGCTACAAGGGAAAAAGTAATGTCATTTATTCATGATATCGATGTCGATATTCAGAAAAATAAATGACAGGAAAAGTTCACGTACATGTGGAGTGATAGATTAGGGAAGTTATTCATTTAAAAAACATCAGGGAAGTCGCTTTGCTAAATAAATACGCATATAAATGGTATATCGCACAATATACGGCGACCATAATACAAGACAACCCGTTTAGCCAGTAGCCACAGCCGATAGAATGAACACAAGCACCACGAAATGCACGGCGTGACGAGAAAAATAAAGCGGAATAAAGAAACATCTTGCGTCTATTTAGGTTTTCTAGAACGCGAAGTAACAGATGCACATGTGGTATAGTTTACGGAGCGACCACGCAAAGCGTTGTGCACTTGTTCGCTTTAAAACACGATGTCACATGCATACATGCGGGCAAATAGCTTGCACCAAAACTGCCATAACCTTATGATAGCAAATATCTCCTCCTGTATTCATTGCGCTCGTGCAGTTGATGCCATCGCTGCAAATACATGGGCACAGAGGCGTCTGCTAGTTTACGTTATGGCCGACAATACCAGTGCCCAGATGCAATTGACGTGGAGAGTAAAGACAATACGACAGCCTTACATACACCTGTCCTTGTTAAAATGATAGCTGCCTTAGAAAATGCAACATTCATAGCACGTTTCCATAAATGTAAGTCAAAATGAGAATGACGAATGCTAGCTTTTAAATACTCTCTGGGGTAGAGAGTATACATTCGGTTTGACTGTGACAGCGAATGTGTTTCGTCAAACTCATTTGATTGCTTAAGTAATTCGATTCTAATGACTTTATAATCGCTGTGTGTAGCATCCGCCTAATTCTACTGTGAATGTCATTCCATTCGAATGACATTCAGAAGTCTACTGTGACAGTGGTATAATATGCCTTGTCACACTGGGCCTCATATAAAATTATGCACCAGAACACATCTCTGCACCTCTCCTATGAATCAAATTTCTTAACAGAGAAGAAAGTGTAGTCTACAGTGCACTTTGGTTTATTTATTTTTTAATTTCTCACTGTTTGTTTGGAACACCCATCTTCAGTACCGTAAAGTAGGTGTATGCCAGCAAAGAGGAGTACGTTCTAGCCTTTCACTGTAGTGTTGTTAAAGGTTGTTAGGAAAATGCAAGAGGCCACCAAAAGCAACACTCCTTCCACGATTGCTGTTACATCAGTCGTGTTGTTATGAAGCAAGGTGCCTGCGGCTTATCTTCTAGTAAGGTGAGTGGTTTTCTTGCTGAGTGTGAGTTATGTGTGTTACCAGCCAATAAGAAAGGTGGTTTCATGGTCATGCCTACTGGCACTATTTGCAAAGGCCTTGAACGCTCTTGACTTGAACTTTAAGGAATGTAGCATTGATATTTGTAAGTTAAAAGTGAAAGCAAAAAGTATTCGACAAGCTTCGGCTTGGCTAGGTATATATAACTCAATTAACAAGAGCAAAGCCACTCGTCTAGCATTGCTGTTCGCGGCTAAAACGCAGAAAGCCGAGTGTCCTGTCCATGTCATAGTATCGAAGAAAGGACTTGTTGCAAATCAGTCTTTGTACCTGCAAGGAAAACAATCTGCTAGAGGTGGATTACCCGTTTTTGGTTAGGAACTCTGAAAGTGTAGCTTCATACATGATTGAATATACAGGAGCCTGCTTTGATGTTTTAGGATCCCTTTTTATTCACTAGCCCCATGAGGCAATAATGATTTCCGTCGAGGAACGTACAGATATGTATGCTGCTTCATCATTCAGAGCGCATGCGCTTCTGAATGTAGAGCTTTCCTTGAGCTTCTCTCATTTTATTTACGATCGACATTCATAATTTGGGAAAACAAGGTGCTCACAAAAGCAAGGTGTGTGCCTCGGTTCCTGTATCACGCCCTTGCAGAGCGACCCCCTGTCAGCTCAGTATGACAGAGCACTCTCTTAACTCTTTGGATATGACGTGGGTAAAAAAGTTGTTCCGCAACGTCGATGATTTCTTAGTGGTGACATCAGGCAGAATGGTCTGAACGAGGCTGCTTATGTACTGAAGCCTTTGAGGCAAGACTCAGTTCCATGGACCCTGACCGACGAGTTGCCAGTATAAGGAACCACCTGGTCTCTAGATTTGCGGCCACACTTTAAAGTTCTCGAGTGTGTTGTGAATGCGAGCCGTGCGCCAGTAAGCCTTTGCTCCCCTGCCAGTCACTCAAAATTTGTGAAAAGAGGGGTTGCAAGCACGTGCCCAAAGAACGCTTTGCAGAAGTCTTGCCATCATTTAATAGACGAACGCTTTCAAGCCCAACTAGGTCGACTTCAGCAGGCTGAGTATCCGTGTTATGTCACTGTTTCAGTGGCTGTCTATTTCAGGCAGTCAAGGAATCCCAGAAGGAGCTAGGACGCAGCAAAAAATCCCAGAGCGAGAACGGAAATTTTAACACTGCCGCAACAGCCTACCTTAATGACGCCTCCCATCGCCTGAAAAAATCTTGGGGGCCGTGCAGAGTGCAGGTGCTATTTACGGCACCCCGTGAGTTTTCACTTTGCATGCAATGGGGGGGGGGGGGGGATGTGACGGGAACAAGTGCTCGCGCAACTAACCACAAAAACAAGTATGTGAATCATGTTGAAAAAGTGGTGTACGCGATTCCACTCACGCGTGGAAAGAAATACGTAGACCAGACGGGCAGGTGCCTGAATGGAAAGACTCTGGGAGCACAACAACAATGTGCATAAATCGGTGAAAGGCCCCGTGCTTATTTCATTGTCAAAATAGCGGACGCCAACCGAAGTTCCATGAAACCAAAGTGGTCGCTAAACGCCATAACCAGACGACGCGCGAAATTATTGAGGTGTCTGAGATTATTTGCCTGGTGTATGACTGGGTCAGTATGTCTTCTTTGGGGACTAATGTAGAAGGAACTAATGTATCTCAATTCGTAGAGTAAGGTGTGCGACAGGTGCATGATTCCTAGGCATCATTTATCGGTATTGTACTGTTCATTTTTTTTCTTTTGAAAATGATTTTTCAAACGTTTTATTCTAACCATGCACAAAAACACGATTGTATAAAAACATCTTGTGTCCGTCCAATAAATTCAGTTAATAGTTTGCGCTTGCATTCCTGTAGTTCGTCTTCAAAGTCTTTGTCTTTTAAGCGGTACGCAATAACGTAACAATGAATAAGCTATAGATGCCAACTTACCCGAGCAAGTATCCGACGAAGGCGACAAAGAGAGCGCCCGCAAAGAACATATTTATGGCGCGCGCCGCCATGACTGACGATTGATTGCAACACAGACAAACTATGGAACAGCTAAAATAGCGTCGCTGTTCAAAAGGGAAAACGAAAGCCGACTCAGTATTTCGGCTCACAATTCAGAATGTTATGATCAACTCATCGCTGTCCGTGCGCGATTGGCCGTTCGGCTGTGTCAGACATGTTCATCCCGGTGGAAAACGGTCGAATTGTTCAGAAAAATAACTCAATTTAGTTAAGTTGATTTGTTCACTGAGCCATTAAGCCGGCAAAGCGTCGAGCCGTGCAACAAGCAGTGCTGCAGATCGCGGCGAAGCCGCCTCACGACTTTTGTCCTCTGCATTTGGGAGAAGGCACAAAATTTTTGCGACGTCACACGTGCGGCCCGTCTTATGAGCATTTAGAATTCAGGTTTGCCGGTAAGAAAAGTGATTTGAGAAGTCGACTTGGTGCGCAAGGTGAAGGAAAACAAAAAGGGAGACGTGAAAGAGCGTAGACTACCAACTGTTTGTTGTCGTTTCATGAAACCGCGGGAAAGACAAACTGCGCTGCCACGATGCGCACAAATCAAGTTTCTATTGCAGAGGCTGCGCAAACAGAGCCGTGACAAAACACTTCAAACGTAACAAACGACACAATCTAAACTTCGTAATCTAAACTGCATATATTCACAAGGTGTACGCCTGTATTTTATCTCTTTATTGCACCAATTTAAGCTTTTTAATAACGTGAACACGTGAAAAGGTACCATAAAAATTTTTTTAAAACTTTTCAAATCACTTCACCCCGATAAAACAATAAAACAATTTTTAAATCACTTTAAGGCAGTAACGCATGAGCGAGAACGATGTAGTGCTACGCCGAGAGAGTCAAAAGCATAAAACATTGCGAAAATTTCAAAGCATTGCATAGAAAATAAAACTGGAGAAACGAATGCACACTCATCAAAAGGTCCACGAAAGAAGGAAAAGAAAACATTGCGAGGTGTTACCCACAATATGAAACGTGGCTGTGTAAGACTATAATTCCCTGTCCGAAAGTGATCGTCGAGATTGATGGCATGCTTTT